TGTAGGCGTTTACGCTAATTGATGCGCTCTAATGTCTCTATTGATATCGTACAAGTCAGGGGCCCTGCCAACTGACTCTTCACGTTTGATTGTCTGATCCCGTCTTGCAGAGATGAGAAGAAAATATTTGATCATGTCCCGTTAATATCCCGTTATTTCGTAACCCCTGTTCCGTGCCCCATCCCCTTGTGGTTGTTGGTAGATCAGGCTTCGCCCTCATAGATCTTTACACGATCATGGGGTCGGGGTACTGGTCGGGTAGATGACCGGGCCATCTCTGAACGGGTACTCGCCCGGCTTGATGGTCGGTGTGACGAGGGCCGTCGTCGTGGCGGTCTCTGACACTTGAGTCGGTGTGAGGGTGGCCTCGAGATGGAGGAGCTTGTCGATGAGGTCGAGCATGGATGACTCGAATGCGATTGGGGCGGCCGCGCATGTCTGGGCGCCTATCGCCAGGGCTGCAGCGGCGGCAGAGATGAAGGATCCGGGCTTCATTTTTTGAGATTGTTCGGTTGTTGATCTGGTGTATGACAGCTGTGTGATGTGATTGTACTAGAGAGATGTGTTGGAAAGAGTGTAGAGGACCAGCCTTGGAGAAAGTGAAATTGAATTATCAAACAGAGAGTAATGGAGCAGACAGAGGCACGAGATATATAAAGCCGTACTACGCATGGAAATCTCTTCTGATGTCTCTGGTGACAAGCACCCTTGACATGATGTGATTCACTTTACAGCGACTTACTGGCTGACAATGAAAGGACTGTTCGCCAACAAGGACGGAAAGAGCTTGTAAGGAGTCACACAGCAGGGCCACGGATTCACGCACACATCCCCCAGAATGGACAAAGCACCGTCCCGCGACCGAAACGACTGGCCATTGTGAGGGCTGGCCGCGATGCTGGTGCAGCACCGAGTGTCTGGTGTGTGGCAGATGATTGGCCGTCGAGGGTCGTTTTTTGCTCTGCGTTTCAGATCCCTGCGATGCGAAACGGCAGCGATGCGTCAGGAATAAATCCAGCAATCAGTCCAGGGTCTGCCTGTTCCAGACTGCCGGTGTCGGCTCCAGTCATCTTTCCATTGTCACTCTGCCTCCTGATGATTTAGATGAAATCTGCCGTGATAAATTCGGAGTGGAGAGTCCGGACGCTTGTTTGCTTTCGGCCTGGATTCTAGCAGCTTCCGGCGGAAAGTCAGTCCCCTTTTGTATTTTTGTGTGTTTTTGGTCCTCCGCTGCCCTCATGGATTTATCTCGCTTTCTCGGACTGTCGCATTTCGTCGGTCGAATCATTGTTAGTAATAAGCCTCAATTGCTCCTCCTCACTTACACACATCGGAGTCTTTTTTAATATTTTATTCTTGTGTGACTCACTCCCCCATAATTACCACATAGAAAATAGGTAGAGTAGGTACGGAGGGTTAAAATAAAATAAAGGCAAGAGCCTCGTTCGCTCCGGCCCGTTTGAAAATTCCTGCTGCCCCATCCAATTGCATTTGACTGAAGACGGAACTGACGTCGAGACACTCTCTCCCTTTTCTCATCCACCTCCAACTGCTTCAACAGCATCTCCCACCCATCAATTGCTTTCCTTCTCTTCTATCCCATCTCAACAGCTCTCTACTAGTCTTGACAGCTCTCGCAATGGCTCCTCCCACCAACGACCACATCCTTACCCTCTCGTGCCCGGACCGCCCGGGCATCGTCCACGCCGTCACCGGCCTCTTCGCCAGCCAGGGCCACAACATCGCCGACCTGCAGCAGTTCTCCGACAGGACCTCGAACCGCTTCTTCATGCGCGTCCACTTCGCCCAGAGCCCCTCGGCCCCCGCCGCCGACTCGGTCGACCACCTGCAGCCGCTCTTCGCCGCCCTCGCCGCCGAGTACGCCATGGACTTCCGCATCCAGCCCTTCAGCCAGAAGACGCGCGTGCTGCTCATGGTCTCCAAGATCGGCCACTGCCTCAACGACCTCCTCTACCGCATGAAGGCCGGCCAGCTCGCCATCGAGGTGCCCCTCATCGTCTCCAACCACCCGGACTTTGAGCCCCTCGCCAAGAGCTACGGCATCCCCTTCTTCCACCTCCCCGTGAACGCCGCCACCAAGCCCCAGCAGGAGGCTCGCATCCTCGAGCTCGTCCGCGAGCACAACGTCGAGCTCGTCGTCCTCGCCCGCTACATGCAGATCCTCTCCCCCGTCCTCTGCGACGCACTCCCGGGGCGCATCATCAACATCCACCACTCCTTCCTGCCCTCCTTCAAGGGCGCCCGCCCCTACCACCAGGCCTACGACCGCGGCGTCAAGATCATCGGTGCCACCGCCCACTTTGCCACCGTCGACCTCGACGAGGGCCCCATCATCGAGCAGCAGGTCTCCCGCGTCAACCACGGCATGGACCCCAAGGACCTTACCGTCGCTGGATCCAACACCGAGTGTCTGACTCTCGCCACCGCCGTCAAGTGGTACTCGGAGCGCCGAGTCTTCCTCAACGGTATCAAGACCGTTGTGTTCTCCTAGGCTGCATCATGCAGATACCCGAGCCGAGATAAAACGAGATCAAAAATGAGAAAAGTTAAAAATTGGAAAAGGAGTTCAAAAAGGAATGTGCCCATGTACGGAACGAACAGGTATGTCGTGAGAATTGTGCATGGTTATGTACGTCACGTGGGCATTTATATGCTAGATTTTGGATATCATATATCATAGCGTGAATGAAAGAACAAAAAAACTTTAAAAACTAATGTGTCCCATGCGATGACATCGAGGATTGATTCTTTTCACGGAAGTCAATTGATAGAAGACAATTGATGCGGAATGTTCTTATACCGATCGTCCTAGTCGACCCCATAATGAAGATACGGACCAGATTCGAGACCGGGATGCCGTGAAATGACCGAACCCACATCCAAGGAGACCATTTGGGAGAGGACAGAATCGATCAATTGACATCAACGGTGCTTTCATCACAATTGAGTCTATAAATATCAAGACTTTTCGGGGCGGTGATGGCCGATGACCAGGCCCGGTTGAGAGCCGCCCACATAACCAGACCGGACTGCCCACCATAAAACCCGGGGAATACCATCTAGATACGCCAATTGGCGACTCATTCCTTGCATAGACGACGCCAAGGGGGAATCCTGGTGTCTACTTGCGTACAGCAAGCAACGGGCCTTGCATCAAACCCCGAGGGCAATACTGACCATCGCCCGTTTCACCTAACCACCACCCACCGCATCACCGGCAGCTTCACCCCTTTTATATTTTAACCACCCAGCCTTCAGTCAAAGCACACAAACCCATAACGCCATAAGCCCAATTATCTAAACCACAGTCTTCAGCTCCCCCCTCTCCCCCCTCTCCACCTCCTCAACCCTCCCCCTGATAGTGTCCCAGATCGCCTCCGCAACGCCCTCAACGCTGTCCCCCGCATCCAGCACAACAACCTCCCTCTCCCGGCTCCCGTCCCCGAGCTCCCTCTCTCCTAGCTCTCGGAACAGCTCCCTCACCCGCCGCTGCATGGCGCCCTTCTCGTACTTCTCCTCACCCCACCCGCCCCTCTTCTCCGCCTCCTCGGGCGTCAGGTCCAGGAACACCACCATGTCCGGCCGGGGCAGGCCGACCTCGGGGGCCCGCGCCCACTCCATGCCCAGCGCCGGGTTGCCCTTTGCCGCCGAGTAGACCACCCCGGAGTGGAAGTACCTGTCCGAGATGACGTTGACGCCCCGGGCCAGGAGCGCCTTGATGTTGGACCTGCGTTTTGTAAGTCATGTACTCTTATAGGCTTGTAGGAAGGTTGGAAAGGGGAACCAACGCCGCCTCCCATCTATTCGCGCTGAAGAGGAGATGGATGGCGTGGTCGTCCATCTCGACGTTGCTGCGGAGGTACCCGTCAATCATCTGGCCAATGAGTGTTGTCCGATCTATCTCGTCAGCATCAATGCCACATTAAAGCACATACTCTAAATCATAAAATCAAAAGAAGATAAAAGAGGGGGGGTAACGCACCCGGGAACCGCACCGTCTTGACGGGCTTGCCCAGCTCGACGAACCGCTGCTCCATCAGCTTGACCTGCGTCGTCTTGCCGCTGCGGTCCAGGCCCTCGAGCACGACGAAGGCGCCCCTCCGATGCGTCGCGGGGTCTTCTTCGCTGGTGGTGAGGAGCTCGTTGATGGCGGCCATGGTGGGGAAAGAAGGTATAGAGAGAGTGTAAAAAGAAAGAATTGGAGAAGAATAATGGGAAAAGGACTTAGTCAGGGAATTCAATGGGAGACACAACCTGTCGGGACTTGAGTGGGAATGTGAGGGGGTTCAAGCCCAGTTATACGGCAGACAGACGCGGCAGAAGCGACATCCAATTGATGGCTTGAGGGCTTCAGCTGAATTGATGCGGTCAGCATATTGTAAAGTGGCGAGCTATTCGCACCGTGCAAGCCTGCAATGCCACCACCAAAAAGGTAGACCGGGCCGTGCGCCGCACTGTCCTCTCGTCCACCGCCATCGGCACAATCACCGTTTCCACATGCAGCAATTCGCAATCGTACAGGTGAGATTAACCCCTCGGTCCTCCAATTGGCCCGCCCAGGTCATGGCATCAGTAGTCTCCATGTAGGATGATGCGCCGCTCTGCACGTCGCTGTTTTGGTGACAAAGAAAAAAGCAATTAAGATGCACGAGCGAAGCCAAAATCAGGGTCAAAATCATATCATCTGCTATCCGAGCCGAGCCAATACCCTCATACAAAGACCGCCAAAAAACAAAAACACTAATTCCAGACGCCAGTGCCAATTCCGTTCCGTTTCCTGCTCAATAAAACAATGTAACACCGTAAAACACAAGGCAGAGCGGGTCATGCCATCCAAAAATAAACTAGAAAGAATCCCGTTCGGCTCGAGCCCTTACAAGAGCTTGCCATAGAGAATACCCGTATCCACCATTACACATCATCATTATCCATGCCATCCATTTACCGTCGTCCAGACATCAAGAGCTCCCTTACTGGCCTTATTGGGTGGGTGTAGAAGGGGCAGTGTCGTCCTTGGCACTGCCGCTCTCCCACAGCTCAAAGCTCTCGCCAGTGCCGTCAATGGGCTGCAGGACGGCGGCCTTGGAGGAACCTTCGCTGGGCTTGGTCATGAGGGCATCGATGGTCTCCTCGATGGGGGTGGGGGCTTCTAATGAGGGGGCGTTCTTGGTGACCTCGGAGGAAAAGACGAAGCTCTTGGGAGCGCGGGCGGGCATTTGCTCCTCGGTGTCAGTCTCGGCCTCCTCGTCGGCGGGGACAATGATGACAGACGATTCGTCGCAGCCCTCGGCGTAGAAGTCGGCGGTGTTGAGAGCTCCAAGAGCCACTCTCTCCTTCTCAACGATCATATCGTCGGCTCTGGGAGCAGGACGAGCTGCTCGTCGTCCAGAAGTCTGGGAGACGTCATCAACAGGGGGGACATTCTCCTTGTCCTCACGGCCCTCGCGGCGTGCCTTCAACTCGGACTCTTCATCCGAAGAAATGTCGAGGACGCAAGTGCTGTGCTGGAGCATGTTGGTCATCTCCTGCTCCTCGGTGTCCTCATGGATATCAAAGAACCAGCTGGCCTTCATGTCTGATTCCAGGGAGTTCGAGGCTCGCTTGGGTGCGGCAGGGCGAGCTGCATAGCTGGGGATGGTGCCCTTGAGGGCGGCATCGAGAGAGAAAGGGGCAGCACCGGCGGAACGGAATGAGGGGGGGTCGACACGCGAGTACGGGCCAGCCGTGCGGCGTCTGTTGGAGAGGAGGCCGGAGCGCTTGCCTCTGGTGGGAGATCGCCCGGCGGGGGCAGTGAGCGGGGAGTGCTTGGAGATGCCGGTGCTGATCTTGGTTGGGCTCGTGATGGTTCGTCGAGAAGCTGTGGTCGACTTTGACTGGGGCAGGACAGAGATGGGGGAGACAGCGGGCTTAGCACTGGGCTTGGTGTTGAGGATGAAGTTGGCAGGCTTGAAGACGACGTCCTTGGTCGAGCCGGACTTGAGGGGCTTGACGCGCTTGGCAAACATGAGGGGGTCAACATTCTCGGCATCATCGTTCAGGTCGAGGAGCTCGGCCTTTCGCTTGCCAGCTGATGAGGGAGATGGGAGAGCTGTGATTGTGTTAGTCAAACTCAATTGAAATCCGTGGTCACATTGATGATCCCGTCCACCGCCACTAACACCAGCTTCAAGCTGGGCTATAGCGCCAACACGTCTTCCGTCTGTTCGACCACCCGCAGTGGTGTTGCGTAGCAGAGGAGACGAGGTTATACAGAACACTCGAGTATTGAGTAACGTACCATTTTGTCTGTTCTTCAGGCTGGTCAGGTTCTGGAGACGAGATCCATCTAGGGGTGCAAAGGGTTGACGCGTGATGGTGGCCATTTTGTCGAGTGGGTATCCGATGTGTTGTAAGAAGGAGAGAGGAAGGGAGAGCTGTCCAAGGAAGCTCTCGTCGAATGCCCCAAGGTCGGAATTGGAAGTGTGCGTCCGTGTGGCGGTAGGTCAGATGGTCGGATGGAAGCCCACTAACATGTATTGTTGTTGCTGTCGATGCTCTCTTTGTCAACAACACCGCGTCTTTGATGTGTTGTTTTGGTGGAGAGCTATTCAAGACGATTCAAGTCGAGATGAAAGAGTAAGTGAGAGAGAGAGTAGAGAGGAGCTCTGGCTACTGAGGATGTGGGTGGGAGGGTATTAAACAGGGGGTAAGCGGAGGTACAAGAGGGACTGTACTCGAGCGTGCGCGACGGGCTGGAACGTCACGGGGCACGGCAGGCAATAGTGTGTAACAGGAGCTGCAGTGGGATGCAATGCAATGCAGAGGGGAGGAAAGGGGACGGAAGGGAGCGACAGAGCGAGCGAATGAAGATTGAAACAGACGGGACGGGATGGGATGGGGGAGGCAAGAAGCAGGATGGATGAGTGGATGGGACGGTACATGAGTAAAATGGTGTGGTGGCCGCAGCTGAGACGCCCAACGGAACTCGTGTCCAGCGCTCAGGGCCCAACGCGTAGAGGACGCTCCAGCCAGTAAAATGGCGAGACAGCGGGCATCTGCAGGCAGCTGGGCCCGCTGGAGCCTGCCCGGACCACTCACAGGCCGCCGCTGGGCTACCCGCTGGGGCCTGCTGCAGCAGTGGACGCCTGCCGTTGATGCGGCCCACCCAACCGACCAATCAGGCACGCGTCCTGTTTAAGTGGAAAGGAGGGGCAGCAGAGCTTCTTCCATTTCTGGCCGTGGCGCGTTAATGGGCTTTTTCCTTTAATTGAATCGCCATTAAACATCTGCACGAACAGCGCAGCACCCGAAATTGTCTCGGTGCGCGATGATCCCCGTCTGAGGCCGGTACCTAATAGCCCTGGCGTTATGTACTCTATGAATTGAGGAAATAGTTCTCTGGAATCAAATCATCAGGCCATCAATTGAGCAGGGCGACTATATCCTATCGCTTCAATAAGGGGCGAATAAGGGGCGTGAATATTTGTGAATATTCAATACAATACATACCTACCACCGACTAGCAGCTCCTATCCCCATACATCTGGATCAGGTTCCAAACCTACAGCCCGGCTCAGACCATCCCCAGCCGATCGATCCTCGTCACCGTGCTAAAGGGCCGACGGCCTGTCTCACCCACAACTGCCCGCCATTCGGAATTGCTACGCTGATAGGCACCAGCTCCGTCCTACCAGCCCTTACATGATCAGAAAGAACGCCCATTAGACCAGCAGATCATCCCGTGTTCCCCCCATCCATGTGCGTATGTATGTAGGTACCAAGTGTGTTGGCTGCAAGCACTTTAACAGTTCGCCCATCTCACACAAACATGTGAGATCATTGCGAACCATAGTGTACATCCGCCTGTCAGACCCCCAAGCCGCCTTGTGCAAGCATAAACCAGGCACAAAAAAAGCCAACACTTCCGTGATTTCATGGGTGGAAGCTCACACCCCTGTTCGCCGAGGCAGAAACCCTCCAAACCCTAAGAACACCAGAACCTGCTCGATACCATGCAACACTAGAAGGAACAGCCATTAAAAGTAAACTACAGAGAACTATGTACGTAGACAGCCCACGGACGTGTCGAATGCGACCCATCTCGTCTCACTGTTTGTTATGGCCTCGTTAGTCCCACGGCCGCAATCCAACTGACCCGCCATCATCCTTGCCCGCAACGCTTGGCCGCCAGAACAGGCCCCTCGCCATACCAGAAACCGGCAATTCCACTGCTGAGCGAATCCTTTCGTGCAACCCCTCGCCACCGGTGAGCCCGCAAGTATACAAATAGACCCGGCCACCCGTGTCTTTTCCGCGTTTTGCTACGATCCATCTTGTACATACATGTAGTAACTCCACCTACCTATACCATATAAACTGGTCCCGGTCCCTCTTCACCATCGCGACGCGGACGGTTCGCGCCTCTGTACTCCAATGGATCGAGCCCACCCCCGGCGCTAATGCCTCTGCTCCCAAGCTGCAACTACCTATGTAGGTAAGCTCTCCAGCTCGATGAGCGTCAACCTGCAGGAGGGAGGTAGTGCAGAGAAGCCATCCGCGAGGCCGGGACTGAAACGAGACAGCTGCCGTCATCCAGACGCCGTCTTCCTTAATATCGCTGCTCTCGCCGCTATTCGTATCCAGTCCAGATTGCTCTGCTCATGTCCGGGCCAACCACCGCCCAAGTGAGGACATGTCTGAAACTGACCTCTAGAGAGTCTATCCCCACATTCCATCCCTTCCCTCCCAACCATGAGCCGACGCCTCTGCATCGCCGGCCACTTCTTCAGCCCACTGGCGTCATGTCTTGGACTCTCCCAATCCCATTCGTCTATTCCGTAGCGGCCAAGAGGCCGGGTGGACTGCCTCATGCTCCTGCCTTATCATGGCTGGGTCGCCCACTCCTCCTTGTAGCGTGGTAACACCAACAACAGGTTGCATTTCAGCCATTCATCCAGCCATCCCCGTGTCGTATCTAGGTAGCTTTTAGGCAGTCATCACTCCTTAATCACTCATCAATGGGCGGGCGGATTGGTTAACGATGATCAATTCATAATGATTAAGAAATACTCTTGTTTCATCGAGTCTTTTCAGGTACATGAGGATCATGGAGACAAGTCTCCCAAAAACACTATTGCTTCCAGCCCTCCCTTTTAAACGCCCACTTCCATGTTCCCACAGTCTGGGAGGGTCATCATACATACCCAGCCAGTCAATGAGTGATCCTCCTCAACGCAAATCAAAGGGGACTCTCCTGCCCCATCATTGGTCCTATACCATGTCACTAGCTTTTTCATAACAGTAAAACGTGTACTCGTAATTCGTGCTCGCCATTCGTCGTTCCTCATAATCACTAGCCATACAAACGCACTGTGATGAGACTACTGCCTCGTCATTGGTCATGAGACCACACCTACTTGCTGCCTGCGCCGAAGAACTGCGAGGCGGCCTTGGCAATCTTGCTCCCGGTGGCCTTGGCAGACTTGTTGGCTGCGGCCTCGGCAGACTTGGTGGGTGTGAGGTCTGTAGACTTGTTGGTTGCGGTCTCGGCAGGCTGGTCGCCTGCCTTGTCGCCTGCCTTGTCCTCAGTCTTGGCATCAGTCACTCCAGGCTTCTCACTGTCGACGGTGGAGTCTCTGCCCTTGATGGCCTCGACGATCTCAGGCTGAGCCTTCTCTTTCTCGTCTGTGTCAATGCCATGGGCTGAAGCGGGTTCGGGTCGGGTCACGACACGAAGGTCATCATCGATTTCGTGTGAGACTGGAGCTGATTGCGAAGAGGAAGCAAACGCCCCTGGCCAGAATCCTTTGGCCCAGATACCTTCATTGTCTTCGGGGAGGTTAAGCTCGATCGAGGGGCTCATGGCGGCCACCTTCTGTGTAGCGAGTTCAATGGAATCGAACTCTGGATCCTTAGGTTCACTCCTGCCAATGAATCCCATGAAGCCCTTTCGGAATTCGGTTCTGCCTCGGCTGGGTTCTTCCTTTTGCTTGGCTGGTTGAGCACGGACGGGTTCTTTGCCTTTGCTCTTGGTGGACTTTTCACCGTTGGCTGGAGCCAGGCCATCCTGCGAGTAGGGACTCTCGATATTCTCAATCACAGCGCTTTGGGCAAGATGCTCGTCCTCAAGGTAATGGGGTGAGCCCATCGCGTGAATGCGAGACACCATGGCATCGGCAGAAAGGAAATGGGGGGAACCACTGCGCGTGGGTGAGGCTACATAGTGGCGATCATCTTCGAGGAGATGCTCGGTGAAGCGGCTCTTGCCATGTTCGATCACCGGCCTCATGGCACCCTCCATCAGGTAGGGGCCCTGGATACGCTGCGAAGAAGATTCACCCTGTGAGTTGTCGGCGTCTCTGTGGTTGCGCTTGTACCTTTCCTGCTCCAACAAGTGCGCAATGGCAATGGGTGAAGTGTAACTCTGATTGTCGTATTCCAAAGCATGAACCTTGGCAACGGGCGCTTCATTCTGCTTCTTGTCATCGCTCAGTCGGTGGCCCTGGGTAACTGGCTGTTTTCCCTTATCCAAGGAAGACTTGGGTGGAGTCGCAACAGCTTGATCTTTCTTCTTGTCCAGGGAAGTCTTGGGAGACGAAACAGATTGAGCTTTCTTCTCCAGGGAAGTTCTGGGAGATGCAACAGATTGATCTTTCTTCTTCTCTTGGGAAACTCGGGGCTGAAGAGCGGCAGCATCGTGTTTCTCCTTCTCAAAGGAAGCTCTGGGCTGGTCTTGAACAGGATAAGGTTTGCCTTTGGCCAGAACATTGGCCGGGACTGTCAGATGTGCGTCCTTGTCAGAGAAAGTTGAAGGATGTTCATTGGACTGCAAGCTTGTTTTTCCCTGGGCTGGGTCATCATTTTCCTTGTTGTCTGCAGGGACAAGATACCACTTTTGGCCCAAATATTCCATGAGAGGCCTTGGAGAAAGCGGAGCAGTCATGACATAATTCTGCTCAATTGGGGTGATATCCGGGGAGTCAAAAGATGAGCTGTTGAACTTCCTGTTATCCGGCACGAGATAAACCTTGTTGGGCTTGTCAAAGGGGCCGGGGGTGGGAGCGCGCTTCTTCTTCTTCTCTGAGATAGAGGTCAAGGGATCCACGTCAGTCTCCGACTCGTGAGAGTTGTAAACAGCAGACTTGGAAGGAGGTGGGCTGGAAAACTTGAGGGATTGAGTCTCCCGTGGCGAGCCGTAAAACATGGGAGCCTGATTCTTGTATGGATCATCTGCAGAACTGAGTTCCTCAAGATCACAGACGCGGAGGTTCTTGGCGCGGCGGTTTCGCTCGCGGAAGACCACCTCTTCCTCATTGCGAGCGATTGTTGCACATGGGCAGAAACAGCCATCCGCCCAGTCCTCAGTGTCTTTGCCTGTAATGTTGTAGAAGGCACGGATAGTCCCCTGCAACCGGCTCACCATGACACTGTAGACTGATATGAAACCATGTTAGCCTGTCTCTCTCGATGGATAACGGGAAAGAAGTCAAAGGGTCATGCTCGCTTACAAGGGATGCAGAGGGCAAACTGAACACATTCAGTTGTCCAGAAGTCTCTCCTTGGGTTCTCAACGCCGTCCATCCGCCCCTTCAAAGCTGCATTAAGGCGGGAATAGGTGCGGGAGTAGTTGACACAGGGGCAGCACATCATATGGGTGAGATCTGGGGTCTGATCTCTGCCACTAATGATAGTGTCTGCGTCACTCGCGTGCCAGGCCGAAATGTGATCCATTGTTTTGGATGGGACTGGCCCGAGAAACTTTGAAAGTTGTTCGTTCTTGGACGGTGAGGGTTGGACGACTTTCAGCGTATAGTCTTGCAGCCAAAGGGCCTACCGATGGACCATGCTAAGCACGAGGAGAAATCAGTACACGCGTTCAAATCCTCAAAACCGAGTTGTGGTAGAAGTTTGTGAGGAGGAAGTTGGGGAGGGGAAGGCGAGAGGTGAGAAGTGAGAAGAAAGAAGCGAGGTGGAGGGGAGGTAAAAGTGAACAGGCCAAGTTGATGCACAAGTGAGGAGTGTGTATCACTTACCGACACGTTGAAAACTCTTGGGCTCAACGGGCAAATCAAGAAAGTGGTAGAAACACTCTCGAGTGTCTGCTTGTCGAGTGTTGGGTAGAAGCTTAGACAAGCTCTGGAAGAAGAGAGGAAATGTGCAGAAACCAATGATGGAAACGAGTGTGGATGGGATTGTATAGATGTGCGGGGGCTGGCCAAGAAGAAGCGAAAATGATATAAAGGACTCCAAGAAGCAGCACGACGAAAACAACAACAACTTCGTCGATGGGTGGAAAGGTGGAAGTGAGAGAGGCCGTGGACCTGGAAGTGGGTGGAAAAGGTTCCTCGAGTTTCTCTCGAGGCCTTCTGTCAACTGGCGAGGAAGGAGCCAGGCAGGTGCTGGCAGCTGCAGCCCCAAGTGAGCACACATCGGCGAGGCTCAGGCAAGAACAGCTGCCAGCACCGCCAACTCCCTCCTCCAGGGCTTGCCCACCGCCGGGCAGATTAATCGAAGGCAACGAGATGCTGAGAAGGGCCGAGTGCACCTTTTGCTCTCTTGACCAAAGACTCAGGAGCAGCTTCATCTTGTGAAGTTCTAAATTACTCCCAGACATCGGGGACATTCTATAGTGACCAGATCATATATTACTTCAACCCGTGCCCAGGTTTCTACCAGATGGTAGGAACATCACACAAATTATCCTGGCAGCACACTTTGCATGTCCAGAGTGAAAGAGCAGCTGTAGATTATCGTGATGAAGACAGTAGCACCTGTTCGCTGCCCATTGATAGAGGGGTGGGGGGCAGGGTCAGTACACTCCAGGCCGCTATTCCGCCTGCCCAAGGCAAGGAACCACAAGCGAGGAGACGTCATGAAGCGGAAGGCAATAACATTCTCGCTTGGTGCATCCTACCGTGCTTCTCTAGATCGTCAAGCACCCTTCGTGCATGCCTTCCGCATCATATGATATCGAGGAGGCACCCATGGAGACACGCTTCCATGGTGGGAAGCACGAGACGTTGTAGCTTTGGCCCTCACTTGCAGGCTAGGTCTAGTTGATTAGTATGCCGAATGATCATTGTGGTCATTATGAAACATGGCGTTTCTGTGTGGCGGCCTCGAGACAGGAACCAGCCACCTGTGGCAGAATGACACGGGCACCTGACAGGGCTGAGGAGACACCCATGGGCGGGGGTAGGCCTGCCATGGAAGAGGAGCTACTGTACGGCTGTGCTTAGGTCTGGAGTTCGAGGCCTTGACACTTGCTGTCGGAGCTGGTCCGATCGTGATGATGCGATTCTATCTTGAGGTGACGGAAAACGGTGCGGCTATTAATTGATAGTCACTTCATGCTGGCATCAGAGAAACCAACATTAGCGAATCGTCACTACTGGCATTAGGACTACTACCTTGCATACATATCACTGACCCTGCATTATCTCATCATGCATTGTATCATTGTCGCCATTGGTGGGCTTCCGCTGCATAATTATATCATAACTCATCGAGTCATAACCCTAGAATTACAAGCCCTGACCGGCTAATGAATCGCTTTTGATAATGATAATGATTTAATGAAAATGATTCAGTGAACTAATTTACCCGTCACCTACATAGTCTTTCCTCTCTCCCCTCTCCCCATAAGCGCAGCAGCCGGTGGATGGTCTTTGGCCCGCCTGACGCGTTTCAGCCGAGATCGCTCGTCAATGTCGTATTCTGACGAGCCACCTGCTGGGAGACGCCCGAACAGGCGATAAGACTTGCTTGCCGTTGGCAGACACGACCAGGGAGGCAAATCCAGTATCCATTATGGACGTTAGTAGGTTTGGTGGCCCGTCAATGGTGCGTGCCCTACCGACCCGGGCACAAATCACGACGAACCATGAACGGGGCCGTCTCTGGGTCTTCTTTGGATCATTCTCTTCGGTGCCGAACCATCATTGGCAGGCTTTGATCATGCAGTGATTACGACGTCGCACCCACATCCATCCTGATAGCTTAGCCGATGTTAGTAGGACCATGTACAATGGGCCCGAGGCCAAGCCACAAACCCCAAAGGTCCAGACTCTATCAGCACTTCATATTTGCCTCCTTGTTCTCGACGGGAAGTGTATGGGGAGATCCCGCACAGCGTGTGACCACGCCAATCGGGCATCACTCTTTATCAAGAGATAGGCTACCGGCTCCCACACACGCTGGGGATAAGAAGGACCGCATGAGGGACCGCATTGGGAAGCTCCATTGCCTACGATATTGGAAAAACGGCTCCTATTAATGGTCCAGCTTGGGGTGCATTACTCGCTTGCCCACCCCATGCCCAGATCCCTGGCACGGTATCAAGATTGTAAGAATGTCCCTCGCACCACGCCATGGCATACACAAAAATGGCTGCGTTTTACTTCTAGCCGCATCGCGACAAGCAGAGACGCTGGATGTGCTCTAGTTGCACGCGCTATTATCCATCCGCCCATCGTAGCACCCGGGGCGGAGTGTTAGTGATGCTTCCTATCCCAACTCTACTCCCCCAACCGCAAGCAAGCAAGGGAAGAAAGCCTGCGTGGCCCCCCTGCGGCGCCTCCTCACCTGGGCGTAGTGTCGTACGTACACACACGGTTCGGCCGTCGACGCAGACGGCCAGAAACGATCCGCCCAGTTGGCTGGTAGCGCCGAGCTGCCAAGGCGGGCCTGCGTCGTAGTCGGGTAACGTAGTCAGTCACATCGACTCAGTAGTCTGAGGTATGGACAGGCAAGCAGGCTGGGAGCAGCGAGAGGTGTCAGGTCAGAGCGCCAAGTGCGGCGCATACGAGACGCACATCTCAGACGGGCTTGGTCAATGGGAAGCAAAAACGTGGGCGCGGCATTGTCAGGCAGGGTGCAGCTGCGCGCGGCAAGAGAGAAATCACATCAATTCCCACTATGTACATGCAAATCTTTCCCCCGGATGAGCGAGCATTGGCTTAATTTCCCCGTGTCCTGGCGGTTTGTGTAAAGTTGTGGATCGGAGCTGCTGCACAGCACCTGCTCGTTTATTTTCCAGCAAGGACCAGATGCTCCAAAATGCTCCCACCAGGGGCCTGCTCTCACTGCAGGAGAGAGTCCAGGCCCTCGCCCAGTGGATTTGCCTGCTGTGGCAGTGGGGCCATCCGCTTCCAGTCCCGCTACAGGGCCTCTAGCGAGGCTTCAAGGCTTGGACAGCGTGCCTCCCCCAGACGCACACCCACTTGGAGTGCTGCCAGTCAGGCCTCAAGGCTCGAGCCTAGGGGCTTCCGAGAGTCAATTTAGCGCTAGGTTCAGACTTGATGGCCCAAGCGCCTGGGACCAAGGCCCGTAGTCCCCACTGAATTTGCTCTGGTGCACCAATACACGCTGCCGGATTCAGCCAGGAACCAAGCTGTGGGCTGTCTTGAGGCCCGTGAGGCACCATCAGGAACTCCCCGTTTGTGTTGGCTGTCGCTCCTTCCCCCCCTTCTGGGGCTTTTGGTCAGAAGCTTGGCTGCGCTTGTTCCTTTGGCTTTTCTCGTTCTAGACCTCGCTTCCCCCTTTGTGATACTATTGACCTGCATACTGCAGACAGACGCAGATGCAGCGACTTTTTGCCTCCTCATCACTTGGCTATATTACTACGGCATTGGACATTGAAACGGCCTGCCCTTGCTTTTTTTCTGGTTCCCTCGCTTCTCCTCTGCTGTCGCAAATTTGTCAGTGCCCACAACTCATCACTGATCTGATTTGACGGCAGTTTCTGGCTGGGATCTCCCGACTGCTGAAATTAGCACGCACGGGTGCTTGTACATCACAGTCTGGACCACCAGGACTCTCCCCTACCTCAGCCTCCGTCCCTACCAGCGAGAGCCGCCAATATTCATTGCTAAATCGTTATTCCCGGATTCTTCATCGAAGAGCACTCGCCTTGGCTACTGATCTGCCTGTGCCCCCCGGCATCATTTTACTCACCCGAATCATCGATTAATTTCAGGCTTAATTGACCTCATTTCTGTGGCTTGACGAACGCGCCACTCGTCTCTCCTGAGGAAGCGCCCCAACTGCAACGGTACTAGCCCGCACCGCTAGCACGAGTCGGCCCAGCACACCTCCAGCACCAGCCCAGCGCCGACAGCTCACCCGACATCACCCAAATCACTGCTCGCAGCTGTCTACAGGCAGGAGAGTCAACTTCAGGGACTCCTCTCCAGTTATCTGCGTTTCAGCTTGCTGCGCTGCAACAGAGCACGGCAAAACCTGTCACCGCCCCGCCGCCCTGCTTGGACGCTTCATTTCGCCAGCCAGCCGTGACGACCAGACTGTCGAATCCGCGGCGCCAGAGGTACGTGCATTGACGCATCTGCGACGGCATTTCCTTCTCTCCTCTCAATCGGCCCTCTCCTGTGCTCTGCTGTCGGGCCTCCACCTGATGAGACGCCGGTCGGCTTCTTGTTCGCATTCGCTCGCCCCGACAGGCTCCGTTGGGGTCAACCGCCTGGGCCCTGTCGCCGTCCCCCGTCCCACCCACACTCCCCTGTCTAGCTGCAGCCCATCCTGTGCTCCCTCTCCCTCCTTTTAAGACCAAACACCTGCCTCTCCATCTCCACGAGCGCCGCATCCCAACGGCCCGTCCTCCTTCCTTGCCAACAGGTTGAGTTCTGTTTGCTGACCGGGCCAGTTGCGTGTTCTCCTCTTTCAGTTTGCCAAACCACGTCAGCCGCTCCCTGCTCGGTGCTTCTGCATATCTACGCTCGCCGTCCCACCTCGACTCAGCCGAGACCAGCGCCAAGCTCGACGCTTGTCATTCATTCACCTCACGCTCCCTCCCTCCTTCCACAAAGACAGGCCGAGCCAAATCACGACTCCGGACCTTCGACGACCACCGACTCAATTCCTTCTTTGGCTTCAGATCATCGTCTTTTCGAGCATCGATTCTAATACTCCCATTTTCCACGACACAACCGCCACAATGGCCGAAGAGAAGAAGAACCTCGTGCCCCAGAGCTTGAACCGCCTCGACAGCTCCCTCACAGTCACCACCATCCCCGAGCGGGCTGCCCTGTCCAATGTCAGCACCGTCTGCGCATCGCCGCTCGACAAGACCCCGCGCAGCAGCAAGGAGACGGGCAAGAGCAACCCCTTCGAGACAGACCTAGAGGCCGGCACTCCCACCCGCGAGCTGAGCAATTGCGTCACCCGAACCCAGACCGGCCAGAAGGACTGCCAGGTCTGGCCCGACAAGGCCCATTGGGAGCGCAAGGCCAAGCTCAACAAGGCCAAGAACCGAACCTGCGGCTGCATGAACCGCATGAGCAAGCGCAACCGCATCATCACCAAGGTCGTCATCATCCTGCTCATCATCGGCCTCGGCCTGGGCATCGGCTTCGGCATCAGCAAGCCTCTGGGCGCCAAGATCTGGGGCGACAACACAAAGAGCACTTAAGAGACGAGAGACACGGCCGCAGGTTTATTCTACTTCATCCCACTCGACTAAGCATATGCCACGAACACATACCTAATTCGACGTTTTGCTTTTCCCATTCGCGGCATCGGCGCAACGGTTTTTTGCTATCCATGTCATACACAGTATCGGCGCAACGGATTGATCCATCGTCCCTCTTGTTTGTGGGCGATATTCGACGCATAGAACAGCTGGTTGGCGGCTCGATTGTTTGAATTCTATACACTACCGGTGATAGGTTGATGGACGACGCGGCAGTCCATGTTTTCCCTTATTCTATACTTCCCATTTTCTTTTTCTCTTCTTCTTATACACTCGCCTCGAGGAGGCCGGTTTCTTCAGGTGCAACAAATTATATGCACCACCAATTACAGAGGACAGCAAAGGAGTTCCAGGCGTTAGCGGCCCCATTAGAGGCACCAGGAGGCATGATGGCTATTCCATTGTTTTTATTTCCATGGCAGACAACTTGTAGTCTGCCTCTTTCTAAACATCTACTGTTTCGCTCTATTCTCTCTCAGACTTCAGGGTATCATGCGATCCTGCTCCCATAGACTCGAGCCAGGACCGCTAAAGATCATACAGAGAATTTGATGCGCAGCCAGCAATGGCCGCACGTTGTTTACCTTGTTTCAAACATGATGTGTCTCCCACGGTGATGGACCAGTCGAAGTGAACCAATGTCTCGCGCATCCTCATGACGGCCGCTACGTAATGCGGCATACCGCCAGCGAAACAAAAAAGGGGGTTGCGGGCGGCTCCCACTCACCCACCCACACTTCACCCCTCCAATCGGAGAGGCCAAAGCGGCACGCGGCATTGGGATGTTCAGCATTACGAAGCTGCAATCCCGGGCGGGCGAGCAAATCCTTTCTTTTCTTAGCACCCGTTCGAAACTGCAGAGCTCGGGCCGCAAGGGTTTCACGTCCGAGTGCTGGGTGCTGGGTGCTGGGATCAAGAACGGGCACAAAAGAGAGAGAAGGGAGAAAAGGGAAGGGGAAAGGGCCAAGCTTCAATCTTGCATCCGCTAGGCCCCCCGGTTCCTGCATTAACGACCTCAGTTGATGGCTATGAAAAGAAACAAGTGGAGAAAAGGGATTTTCGGAGATCGGCCGTCCGTGGAGAGTTGTCATGGGTTTTGGTTCCACCGGTTTTATTCCCCTTCTCCCCGTTTGGCAAGATGCTCGCTTGTTCATGACTTCATACATCTCATTTCGGTTTCGCTTTGGATTCGCTTTGGATTCGCTTTATGACGTTTCGTGTTGGCTTTCGCTGCGGGCGAGGGTGGTGGCCTCTTTCAGGGGCCTTTGGATGCTCGGTTTCACAGAGTCGTGATGGGCTCGTGTTGTTCGTACTCGGGTTCGGTGGGGGCCGTTCATCGATGAGCATCCCGTTGTCAGCCTGGGTCTAATTTTTGACAGTCTGGGATTACGTGAAGCGGGCTCATCGACCTGTCTGATTGTTGTGACAGACAGCAATCGGTTTGACTCTTGAGATTCACGATGTGAACTCTTGTGATGAAACACCCCGACAATATGCATAATGTCTCACAAGAAAACTCGATAGCTGCAATGCCCAATACGTGGCCATCTGCTGCGATGAAGCAGCGGCTCAAGAAATCATCCACTTGAAGCCAAGAATAGCCCGACAATAGCCCCCATCATGGACGCTTGCGATGCGACATCAACGGCCCCGAGCACCGCTCCCGGTCCCGGCGCTGCCACTCCAACCACAGAGCGAGAGTTCAGAGCCATACAAGAATGGCTGCATTCGTCATCACAGGCAAAGGAGTGGCCACCGCACTCAGAGCCGGAGGAGCCCCCCAGCTCATCCAGAGTGACCCGGCTCTCCGACCCCCACGCCGGGACCACGGTCCTCATAATCGACACGGAGCATAACCGCGCGCTGGCATGCCACGACGGCGACCTGCGCCTCGAGGCAGTCGGCGACCTGAACTCGCTCGAGACCATCCCCGTCCACTGGCAGTGGTTCTCCACCGAGACGGACGGCTTCAAGGGCTTCCGGAGCGTCGCCAACGGCGGGTTCCTCGGCCACGACATCTGGTGGGGGTTCTACGCGAGGGTGCACCACCACCTCGGGTGGGAGCACGCGACGCTGAGCAGGCGGCCCGGCGGCTGCTACTGGATCCAGTTCGAGCACTGGTGGACGCTGCGCCAGCTCTGCGCGCGCGGTGACGGCGGCGGCGTGTACTGGCAGCAGGACGGGGGGACGCTGTGGGAGTTTGTGGAGGTGCACAGGGCGAGGGATTGAAAACAGGACAGAAACAAAACGCCTTTGAACATGCAGTCTCAGTCTATCGAAACTACCTGTGACAATGTCCCAGCCTTGGGGTGGAGAGGTGGTAACTAGCAGACAAAGCCTTGGTGGGCGAGAGTTCAAGGAACAACCACTGACAGCAAAGCTCGCTAGTCGATGCCGTAACAGGCGGCTATGACTTTGTAAACACGGCTCTTTTGACTATAGCTGCAGAAACAGAGAACAAGAGCCAGTTGAGTGATGAGTTTCCAGTTCCGTGCAAGTATAAGTAGACATCCAGGAAATCCATCTCACGCCCAAGATGCAGGCCATTCTGTTAACCCTCTTTGATAAATCCAAACCAGAGTCGCATTTCCCACGTTCCCTACAGCAAGCAGCCGCGATTAAGAAGAAAGTATCCAAAGCCCAGGTCAAAGCGTCCCAGCCAAGCACACGACCAGCTCCCAGCCCCAAATTCCCCTGGGAGAGCCACCAACATGTACTCTCCTCAAAACCAAGACGTAAACCACTGGATCATGCCCGCCTTCATCTCCGTACTGACCTTCTTCATCTTTTCCGTGGTCGCCAACTTCCTGCTCTGTATGCGGTTGGAATCCCGCCGCAGCAACAGCAACAACAGCCCGGACGAGGAGCGAGGTGCCGAGCCCAGGGACGCCGCGGGCCGGCCGTTCTCGGCCTTGCAGTCTCCGCCGGTGCCGGTGAGAATTCATCTGAATGCCATTAACCCGTGGAGGGGAGGGCATGAGGAGGAGGAGCAAGTGGCACCGGCCGATCGTGAATCGGCGCCGGTCAATCGTGAGCCGGCACCAGTCGATCGCGAGCCGGCACCGCGGGACGGGAGCTCTCAAGATACGCTGGTCGAAGTGCCGCTGGATGATGGACAAGAGAGAGGTCAAGCCCGAGCGTGGTGGCGGCAGTGAAGCCATCGGTATGGGCGTCTCGGTCGTATCAGGGAACGAAAAAAGACTGTTGTTAAATCAACCGATCGGTTGTGAGCTATGAGCTGGCCTCATATTCCTATGTAAATTAGTTTCCTTTCACAAGACAAATGAGTCACAAGACAAGTCACAGATACCGCGACACCGTTTCGTCGAGGTGGTTTATTTTTCATTCATTTCTGCTTCTGTATATTTTTAGTAGTCACCTCTGAATCTCAACGCTCCCCATTCTCAAAAGATCAAATTGAATCAACAGTCCTGTGTTCCAATGCCATCACCCAGCTCCTCTTCGCCAGAGTGCAGCAGCAAAACAAGTGTCCCATGCCAGCCAATCCCGCTCCAAACGAGGTGTGTCTGCCAGGGGAACTGTCGAAAACCAAAGTGTAGAGAAGCCCGAGTCCTGTGTATGCACCTTCTCTTCCGACGTGCGTCTGTGGGTTATTCCACCCATTACAATATTCTTTCTTCATTCATTCTCCCCTCCTCCTGCATCCCCATCTTCTTTCTCTCTTGATTTCTGAACGACTTAATATCTTCGTGGGCGAATATCAGTAAAGAGCAAAACTAAGAAAAAAGTCCAAGTGCGTGAGAACATCCAGTGTATCTTCAGCTGGGGATCGGGCGATCCCCATCCCTTCCCTGGATCTTCCCTGACGGTGAAACAATAGTGTAATAGGAGTTAGTAAGTTAGATGTAAAAAACAAGGCAAGAAAGCAGGAGATCAGTCCAGCTGTGAAGACAAAGGAAAATGCAAAATGTGTCTGCTAAAAGGACGGTACAAGAAGGTTAAACTCATTCTTCTCTTTTTTTCCTCCTCGTGCGTTTGTGGTCATGCTAACATCGTTGTGTTGTATAATTATTCCCGTTCCAATCCACCATCGTCAAACGGGACCAGTCTATGTTGTGCTGGTTGCATCAAAAAGAGGAAGAGTGTAGGTCATCCACGTCGATATCCGTGAAGGCGGCATCTTCAGAGCGATGCCTAATAAGTGGACGATGCCTCGCAAAGCAATCCTCAGCTATATCGGAAACAAAAATGGTTAATAAAGTAAGATACGGCAGGGACATGTCGCCAGGGACTCCGCCAAGTCCGCGAGCGTCGCTCATACTGACTGGTAGAGCAGTAACGGTTCGCCAACGTTCTCGATCTCGGGGATTGTGCACTTCAGGTCGAACGCCTTGGCCAACACAATCTTGAAAATCTGGGAGCGAGGATGTCAGTGGTGCACCCAACGTGAGGAGTCGGGACGGTCGGTGTTCACCTTTTGCACGTTGATGCTATGACTAGTACTCGAAAAGATCAGAGCCGCCCTCATCGCCTTGGCAAACCGCCTTGCCTGGGTCAAGTCAGTACGTCATAATGGAACTGGCATCAGACAGGGGGGATCATGCGAACCTGGTTGGAAATCTCCTCCTGGTCTTGGGGAGGGAAGTTGACAAAGTGGTCGTACTTTGTGCCAACGAGGATGGGGATGGCCGTCTTGTTGAACCCGCGGCCCTGTCGATACCACTCCTTGATGCTATTGAGGGTGCTCTTGCGAGTCAGGTCGAACATGAAGAGTATGGCGACGGCGTCGTTGCAGACGAGGGGCAGCATGTTAACGAATTCGCGCTGGCCGCCCAGGTCCCAGATGGAGAATGTGATCTCGGTATTCCTGATGGAGATGGTCTTCTCCATGAAGTTGACTCCGAGGGTCTGGATGTAGTCCTCGTCCCAACTGCCCTCGACGTACTTGACCATGAGGGAGGTCTTGCCGATCTGGGCGTCGCCGACCATGCCGACCTTGATGACGACGTGGTTGCGGCCCTGGGGCTGCTGCTGTTGCTGCTCGCCCTGCTGCCTGTGCTCGTTGTTATATGATTGCGGCGGGGGGTTGGACATGCTGCTGGGGGGCCGTGATGACGACGGGCCGTTTGACACTGGGGGGGTGTATCGGGAGTTGTGGGATGCGCCGGCGTGCTCATCTTCCGGGTGAGGGCTGTCCTCGTGTGTGTTATTCGCGAGTCCGCGGTCTAGGGATTGGCTCTGTCCGTGGCGGTAACCGTTATTCTCAGCCACGTGCACAGATCCATCAATTCCACCGAGGGTATCGTCCCCGACCTCTTGGGGCGGCGGTAGGTGTGGGTGGTTGTCCATCTCCATGGTTCCGATCGTTGGTGGTGGGTCAGATTAGAGGCAGAGGCAGGCAAGGCTCTGCCGAACGGAAGCTTGGGGAACCGTGTAATGGCGGGCGAACGAGCGTATTGGGTCGGCGGGCGGAGACGTTGCGGTGGATTAAGTCAGGGATCTATCTGTTCTCGCGGCAGAGATGGGAATCGGATGAAAGGCAGGACGGCCTGGTCAGCTCGCCGAAGGCATCAAGCCAGAGAGCAGGGCAGCAGATCGAGGCTGCAGCAGCGTCGGTAAGGAGTGTGGTGGCAGGCGGCGGGCGGCTACGAAGGCGGTCCCTTTTTTCGATAAGGGTTTCCGTGGCAGGTGATAAGGAGAGTGCGGGCTCGAGCAGGGTGCGGCAGGGAGCAGGAGCAGGAAGAAGGCCCGGCCGGAGACAGCGGCAGAGGTGAGGGCGATGGCGAGGTCGAGGAGCAACGGGACGGCGGGCGGAAAGAGGAGGGGCGGCGGTGATGAAATGGATGGTGGCAGAAGGAAGCGATGCCTCCAGCGAGGGAGCAGTATCAACTCACGAGTGGGTGGAGTCAATCTCAGCAGAGCACCAGAGCACATAACCTACTGCTAACAGGCCAGGCCGTCAGCACAGCACAGTGCAAACATTCTGGTGGTGTGGAGCGCTGGAGCCTGGCAGCGCGTCCGGTGCGGGGGCCCAGGATTTTCCGCGGGCACCACACACATCACTAATATTAGGCCCTGGGCTGCTTGCTACAGCGGCCACACCACTGGAGGACTCGAAGGGGGCCCCTGGCTCGCATTGCCACCCGCCGATGGAACCTCAACTGTTTGCCAGTGATCAGCCCTGTGGGTTAATCTATCACATGCAGCAAGCACCACGACCCAAAGCGCCCCCCTCAGAAGCCATTTTGATTCCCATCGCTGCCCAGGCACGGCTTGGCGATTGGCACGAAAATTCGCTCGCGGGGCTGATCTGGGCGCTGACTGGCAGCGATGGGTGGATTAAGCCATCAATGACCCGCGTTGAGAGCACACGATGGCGTCACGCGTTGGACCAATGGGAGGCCGGTGTTTGGGGTTGCACGAGCGGCACCATGAGACGAACATGACGAAATGGGCAAGCCACCGTCGCTCTCCTGGGCTGAGCCAGCTGATCGTGTGTGTGTGTCTGAGACTCTGAGCTGGCCTGCGGAGGGCTTGACCCAAGCCAGCGCAGTGTGTCTCACCGTCGTCTCGCTGCACTTTTGTTGTTGTGTGTCGGCGTGTTTATATATTCCCTGTGTTTACTCTGCCTGGTTTGGGATGTTTGTTGCCCTCCAGCTGCGTCGTCCGGGGCGGCATAAATGGGCCTCGATGGACAACTCATCAACCTGCAAGTGACTGGCTGGGGTCTGGGTGAGATTTGCGGATCCCCTCACATATCATATTGTCGCGCCAAACTCAGTCTGCCGTATTCCACCACAACTGCTCTCTCCTTGCGCTGACAATCACTCACCGCATCGCCGTTTTGGCAATTATTAATATCCCACGCCAGCATACGTAAAACGGCCTCTAGTCGGCCTCAGTTGTATTGTTAAGCACACCTAGAAGTGGAGAGTTCGGACCGTCTCAGGTGGCCGCCACGCTCTTATCTTCGCTGTACTCTGCCAATGCCATTGTCAACAGGAAAAGGCAACTTAACCATTCAAACCCAACTAATAAAATACCATATTGCCCTACAAATTTTAGCTTGATACTGTTTTCATTAATAGGCTGGTTGGTTTGATACTGTGTTGAGATTTAATACTGGAAATACTGGAGGTTCTCGATGTCCGATGTTTTATATCAGCCACTTGCCTGCAGGTTTGTAGTAGCAATTGAACTGCGACTCAATGCAAGGCCCGGGCCGCTATATGCATTCCAATTTACCATACGTATTCTGTCCCGACATCAATCATATTTTGTAGTTTCATCCCGCAATTCGTCCAAAATTCCGGTATGTTGAGCGCGCATCCAAAGCTCAGGTGTGGTAGAGGTTGCATTCCTACTCCGCACAACATGTAGTACAGCTCTCCCAGTGTACCATTCAAGCATTAGCCCAGCCCACGGGATGAAAGCATTCCCTTTGCTACAGGTGATGGCATTCTTAATGTACAACCATCGAAGTCAATCTCAAAGGAAGCAAAGGAAAAAAGCACAGCATCAATACAGAGCTCCTCATACACTTCAATCGAGAGCTGGCCATGGATTCAGCAATCGATTGGAGCATACAGGGTAGGCCACGGGCTACAGTCGGCTCTCAGCTGAAGCACGCTCGGCTCTCAACCGAGCAAACGAATGACTAAGCACCCGGTGATACGACATCTGAACCTGGTGATGCGCTTCACCCAGACCGACTGGAAGTGTGCGTCATTCACCGTCCTGCCATTGCGTCCCGAGTCCGCACCCGCCACGAAAATGGCCTCAATCGCTCGCATCCTCATGGCCGCCAGGCCAGCAATCTCCCGCCTGGCCCCCCGCGCCGCCCCCCTCGCCCGCACACCCTTCCGCACCTTCTCGAGCTCCCGGATGAGTACGTCCATTCCCCCCTCCACAAGCCCCAAGCGGGCCAACTCCAAAGAAGACGAATGAATATTCTAACAGATAGATAGGCCTGCTACGAAAGTACACCAAGGACCACGAGTGGGTCGACCTCTCCGCCGACCACAAGTCCGCCGTCGTGGGCATCTCAGAGTACGCGGCCGAGCAGCTCGGCGACGTCGTCTACGTCGAGCTCCCCGAGGCCCCCGGCGACTGGGTCGAGAAGGGGGACGCCATCGGCGCCGTCGAGTCGGTCAAGTCGGCCAGCGACATCAACGCGCCCATCCGGTGCCGCGTCCACGCCATCAACAAGGCCCTCGAGGAGAAGCCCTCGACCATCAACCAGGTCCCCGAGGACGACAGCCACGGCGGCGGCTGGATCGCCCGGGTCGACGTCGACGAGGCGGGAGTCAAGGAGTTTGAGGGCCTGCTGGATGCCGAGGCGTACCAGGCGTACGTCTCGACCGTTGACGAGGAATAGAGGAAAGGATGGGCTTTGGCGGGGAAGAGGGGCTACGGCAAACAAGGGGGTTTATTCATCTGTATATGAACGAAGGAAAGGGAACCCTGGGAAAGCGGGTGAGCATTTAGACGCTGCGCAGATGCGTATTCAACACTGTTAATTCAGCATTCAACCATCTTGAGGAGGGTTTGTTCTATTAGGCTTCTGTCCATGTGGCAAACTTTTTTTCCTTGATAAAAAAAGACAACCCGAAGAAAAAAAACATACATCATCCGTCGTTATCATCCATTGCATCCATTGTATCCATTACGGCCGCACCGCAACACTGACGGGGGTTGCAGCCGTTATGTGTCCCGCGGCTGCTACGTGCTGCTCGGTGGCTGCCGTCTCTCGTTGATGGTGTCTAGAATTTTCCCGGCACCACGCTCCACGAGCTCGAGGGCCACCCGCTTCCCGTACTCCTCCGCCTCCTCGGGGCTCGACACCACCTCAGACTTCTCGGTATCGACGCTCTCGGTGCCATCCACGGACACGACCGTCGCCCGCAGCCGCAGCTTGCCGTCCACCCAGTGCGTCTCGACACCGATCGGCACGCTGCACCCGCCCTCGAGCGTCCTCATGACGTTGCGCTCGGCGAGGCACGCGAGTGTTGTTTGCTTATCCTCCAGCGTGCGCAGTATCTCGAGCGTGCGCTCGTCGTCGGCCCGGCACTCGACCGCGAGGGCGCCCTGCCCCACGGCCCAGAGGATCCCCCCGCTGTCCGACTCGAGGAACTGCGAGATGTGGTTGTCGAGGCCCATGCGCTGCAGGCCCGCCGCCGCGAGGATGATGGCCGTCAGGTTCGGGTCCTCGTCGAGCTTGCGCAGCCGCGTCTGGATGTTGCCCCTGTGGTCCTGGAATTTGAGCGACGGGTACCGCCTGCGCAGCTGCGCCATCCTGCGCACGCTGCTCGTGCCGATGACGCTTCCGTCGGGGAGGTCGGCGAGGCTCTTCCACCCGTGTTGTTGGACGAGCGACGGCTTGATGACGAGGGTGTCGCGCGGGTCCTCGCGCTGCGTGATGGCGCCCAGGACGCAGCCGTCGGGCAGCGCGGTGGGCATGTCCTTGAGGCAGTGCACCACGAAGTCGAGCTCCTTGGCGCGCAGCCTGTCCTCGAGCTGCGAGGTCCAGAGGTTCTTGCCCCCGAAGTTGTAGAGCGCCGTGTTCTGGTCCCGGTCGCCGGTCGTGGTCATGCCCTGGATCTCGAAGTGGACGGACGGGTAGTTCTTCTGCAGCGCCTTGACGACGAGCTCGGCCTGGGCCATGGCCAGGGGCGACTTGCGGGTGCCGACGTTGACGGTGGTTGTTTCAGACATTGTGCCGTGCCGTGATTCGGGAGCAGTGTGATTGTGTATGTGCGAGGTCGGGAATTGGTCTGCCGCTCTCTCTCTTGTCGAGCTTCAAAGTGACGCTGTTTTGTCCCGTTGGAGTTTGGAGGGGCACCAACTTTTTAGTCTCATGGAGGGGTCCAACGTATTTTTGGTGGGGCAGCCGAAGAATACGCTGTACGACGCAATTCGCACTGTCTGTGCACGGCTCGGCATCGGCTTCGGCATCAATTCAAGCCTGGATGATGTGGCATCACTTCTTGCTCTTGCCAAACAAGTATCTGGAGTTTTCAAACTGTGTCAGTTGTCTGAATAGGGGCTGAGACGTATCTGTTGCTGTGGATTCGTGATGTGTTGGACATGCCTCGCACTGGGCAAACAAGCTGGTCCTGACGCAAGAGACGGCTGATAGAGGCCACTCTATGATGGCAAATGTCTTGAAAACTGCAATCATTCATGCCGTGAGATGGATTGGCATGAAGAGGGGGCTTGACGGATCTTGATTCACTCAGAAACGTCAGTGTATAAATTCAATGGCTCTCGTATCATCAAGACTTGATGCCACTTCCATAACCACACGCATCGTTCTCTGATGTGACCGTTTGTCGAGTTTCAGAATTCTTATTTAGATCTTGATACTTGACTAGGCTATGATGGCGAGAACTCTCGCAATAATTCTACAATGCGTGGCTCTGGCGACAGCCCAAGTGTTGCCCCAGTCCAGCTCAACTTCGATCAGCCTCTCGACCCTCGATGTCTCCGTTCCGCCCACAACCTCCCCTAGCGAGACTCCCCCAACCATAATAGTGTCGAATATCAAGCCCACCGCTACTGGAGACCCAGGTCAAGGCGCCATCTGCGAGTGCGGATACACGTATTGCTCTTCGGTTCTCATGGCAATGAGTCTGTTCCCCTATTGCGCCGTGCTTCAACCGTGAAAAGAAACTAATGACTTTTATCTTGATTAACAGAGGTTCCGTGGAATGAGGAGCAGCTCAAGAAAGCTTACTGTGCCACGGAAGACGCTGTATGTAACAGCGGAACCCCGTCCAGCGACATCAAGTCGGCCCTATTCCTCTGCCTCTGCGACACGATTGACCAGAAGGTGGGCAACAATCTGCATCTTGTCTGCGGATGTGATACCTGCCTCAACATCGGGCCGGACTACAGAGGTCGATGCAAGACTCCGTGCGTCTCGGGACAATGTGAAGGGGGCGGTGATGTTACCGGAGACGAGTACGATTGGTAAACTGGCAGGCTTGTTGAGCGTTTCATTCGACGTTGATAATTAACGGAATTTCGGCAATGGCGGGGTGTTCTTCCAGGTGAAATAGTTCTGTGCCTTCGTTGACTGAGGGTTTCATTCGAACAGTAATCATTAATGGAATTTTGGTAATAGCAGAGGATTGCCCCAGATGTTTCGACAACAGCGGAATATTCTCCGAGGTGTTTTGGCAATAGTAGGATAGGCATGTTCTATCGGCGGAACAGTTCTGTGGCTTCATTGTTGGTTTTGATCTTCGTTGCTTCTTGAACTTCTAGTACAGGCAAACTAGCTCACTGGCCGATTTGACCTTCAACCTCATTGCTTCCGAAACGGTTCTCGATTTGGTCGGGTGAAAGAGGTGGCTAGATAGCTAACTAGCTTTCGAAATTGATTTCCATTCTCTTGCATTGACACCGTGTACGTACGCTCGTCTTCGTTAGTCCGGACACTGGTCGCATGGATGGGAGGAAATGCTCCTAAACTCGAAAGTCACCTTAGCTAGGTCCTTCTTGACATCTGAATAGGTTCGATAGTTGGCTAGTATGGATCGATGTTTTCGTCTCGAATTGGATGGACGTGAGGGTGTCTGGTCAGATTCAGCTCGAGGAATTTATACTTCCGAATCTGGCCCTTTTTTCTTGACTCGACGAAGTAACGTTTGAGCGAACATACGAGTATCAAGAGCTTAGTGGTCGAGAATGACTTGAGGACTTGACGATTGTTGGTGGTGTTGTCAATAAAAGAGAACATGTCGAGTTACTGGTGGAGGACGGTAATGTAGTCTTTCTCTACAGGAAAGTGCCACCCAATCGGGGCTTCTCTGCCTTGGAATGAATTATAGGGAACGTTTACAGCGGTACAGCACTACAAATGCCTACAATATCGGGCCTACTAGGGGGAAAGTCACTGGAGGCTCGAGGCATATAGCTGCAGGCACGTGACCCCCCAGCAGCAACAGCCCCCTATCGCTGGTACCTCCAGCGACCACCCTCTCGCCACTTTTAAGTCGTGGAAGCAAATTTATTCTTCAAAACATCGACGAAACCTCTGTGATTAGAAAGTCGTTGAATGACGTAGAAATAATCTAGCATGTAGGGAAAGATAAGGTAAAGACGAAGCTCTGTGAGGTCCAACCTAAGCAGAGACACAGCTCGTCCGTAGCAGAAGCTTCATTTCCAGTTCAAACTCTCTGCCACTTGGATATCATTTAAACAAGCCACAGCTAAGCAGCTAGGCAATGTGAAATTACTTGCAATGCCTACTAATCTGCGATCTTTAGGGCTTGGGCAGTGAAATATGTTCCTTAGCCCTGAGCCGACTGTGAGAAGTGATGCCTGAAAAGTGATGCCTGAAACTTTCCAGGAACTGCCAAAGGCTACTAGTACCTGCCTACCTACTCAGATTCTCACCCAGCTTCCACTTTCCACCTACAACTTGTTATATTTCCTCACCTCCTCTGTTGCCCTGTTGTTTTTCTCCTTCCACACACAACTCTCCAAGCCCATCGCCACCATGGCCGACAATTCCGTTGTACCCGCATCCTCCAGGGTGTCTCCTTTTCCAGTTCCGGGGGAAATACTTAATCACATCATTACTTTCCTGGATCCTCGGGGCGTTTGGATGCTCAGCAAGACCTGCAAGTACATGCGAGACGTCATAAAGCCTGGGCGCAGCGAGTGGTTGGACTTCATGCTCCAGATGGAGTCTTGGCCAACCTTTGGCGGAGGAACATCTCTTTTCACCGGTAGCGACTTCAACCCGATTTCAGATCTCAGATTGTGGAGAGACCATTATTGGGTCTGCGTCGGGTGCATGGAGCTCCTCACCCACGAGCACTTCAACAACCAATCCCTCCTTCAGCTCGCATACAGAAAGCTAGACCCCGAAGCTCCTGTTGTCACATCATGGAAACCGAGCCTGCGCGGCAAGAAGTGGGGACAGGAAGGACCCAAGTACTCGGCATCTGACGAACATGAACGTCTCGGTGCCAAGCGTCGCCATCGGCTCTGCAACGAATGCCTCTTCCGTCTCGGGAGGCTCAAGTCTAAATGGATCACAGCTCAAGGCACCCACGGCGGCACGCTCAAGACACCCATCCAGATAAGCCGGTTTGTCTGCTTCCCGAGCGCGTTGGACCGGTACTTCCCCAATGTAGGTGAAGCGCTGGGTCTTCCGGGGCCCGACGGCGGCATCTTCACAAGTCATATGCAGCGATGGGTGCTCTACATGGCTCGATGCCCGACTTGCAGCGTGTGGCAGGAGCTGAGCATGTTCCGCGTCGGGGGCTCGTTCCCGGCCTGGAGCCCAGCGCATGACGGCGAGGGCAATGTCCGGTACCGTGGGGGGTTGAATCACGAGGACTTCCATATCGATGACCTGACCTGCCACGCATGTTGCTTACGCTATCAGGGTTTTGGATACCTGTGCGTCGACCTCTTGGACTGGTACTGCCTATTGATGAAGTCTACAAGATTCGAGATTGACCTCCAGCTCCTCAGTGGTTGGTCGGCGATCAGGTGGAACCAGCGCCGGTTCAACCGCAAGTACAAGAAAGACATCCGGAGGATCCTCCAGGATATGGAACACATGTACCAGAAGCGCCACCGCCCCGACAGCGAGCTGGGGTATCAGGAGGTGGCTCTGGTCGAGATGCGTTATCGGGAGTTCATTGAAATTTGGGAGAAGATGAGGATGGAGGGCCAGATCGCATCCGGCAAGCTGACAGAGGGGAGCCTATTCAGTTCATGGTTCATAAACTTCCCCAGAGTTCTAGCGACCTGGCGATGGCTTCGGGAGTGCCAGGACGCGGTCGAGAATGACCCTGGTCTGTTGGGGAAGTGGGCTCTATCCCAACCCCGATCGTACCAACCCCGGCAGTTTTATCGCGTTTCTCGTCCACGACTTAAATAACGGGATCATCGCCGGAATCACATCACTGGAGCTCATCTACGACGACAAAAGCCTCCAACTATCTCTTCCTTAGCCGCTATACGATGGACCCCATACGTTTCGGTTGTTTACTCCCCGTGTCAAAGAAACTTCTTCATGCTAGAGACCTGTGTCTCCCTATTCGCTTGAATATTGTGAAGGCATCCATCAGTGAGCTGCACAATGATTCCATCATATTCGTGGCTTGGCTAACAGCATTGCAGGAATAATGAGACGCCGGCGCTCAACAAAAGCCGATGAACTACTTGCTCCTGTTTCGAATACCTCACGTCCAAGGACCATTCTTCGGACCCCTAACGAATCAAGATATGGGCCTCGACAAGATTTTGAGTCAGATTGATCTCTTATGCCGGAAAATGAAGAACCCGGATCTACTAATTCTTCCACCGATTTCATTTCTTTTGTTAGCGAGAGCAGCTCAGACCCCAGAGACCATCAAGGACAGTTCAAGGTCTATATACTGAGTCTCGATGAACGGTCATAAAAGTGCCTAGAGGAAACAAAGATGACCTATGAGTGTTTGGTGCGGATGAAGTATCGGTGGCAGGTTTGGGGGAAAGGAACTTGAATGGCACTTTTCTACCCGCTTGTACCGGACTTGGCTCAATGGTTCCAAGTTAAAAAGCCTTTTTGTGCTTTCATTGTTTGGAAGCTGCCTACCAAGTTGGCTGTTTAACTTGTATGATTAACATGCCATGACCTTCACCTGGCTGATACTTTTATTACTGTATGTCAGACTAGACTAGAAAGGACAGCTCATTCTTATTGCAGCGTTGCATTCTCGGCCTAAACAAACGCTGCGCCCCGGGCCGTGCAAAATGCCCTACAACGGTGACTCTGACACCATTGCTCTCATCCAGACAACCCGTTTGGGATAATGATGAGCCCCTTGCTCTGTGGTATCCACTTGCTCGCTTCGTCCTTCCAAACTTCTACTTCTTTTGACCACCCTGGTCACTCAGAGTCAAGGAAGGCCAGATTCAGATCGAAACCTTCCATGGGATTACCCTTTTGATCTACGGTACCAACTTGCGGCTCGAAAAACAATGCATTATTGCGTGTACATATGCATATGCATACGGAAGGGTAATCTGCACCCCGTTTGATTTAGATCGTTGGAAACCAAGCCCAAAACATCGAGCAAAAAGTTTAGCTCTTCGGAGCAGAGCGGAAAGGGTTAATTAGCAGAGAGCCAGCCCGTTTTTCTGAGACGTCACAACCACGACTGAAGATGACAGGTCAGCAGTACATGATTCGATTCTGGCCAACGGGCATATATCTGCGGCAAATACGACGGTTGATCAACATACCTTCAGGGACCAGTCTCCTCATCCAACTGAGTTATTTCTTCGTGGCAAAAGCACTGGCTCACCGGTGAGGGTCTGGCCCACTTTCTAAGTGACATGGTGATACTTTCGGCGTCGGGTAGTATTAATACTCGTGTAAAATGAGGCGGGCATCTGTCTCCGGGTGGTTCCGGCAAGTTGACCAATCCTTGCAGCATAGCCTAAGCAGCACAAGCCACAGGCAAGCCTTGAAACGAGGCTGCCGCGTAGGATGAAAATCACCCTCGGAGCTATTCAATTCTTTAATCCCGTTGATGCTAATATTGACTACCGATGACAGTCCTCCCAGCCGACGGGACTTACGTCAAGCGGATACGATGAATCATCGGTTGGGCCAATGAGGTGGAAATCTCAGCACAAAGCATGCTACTGTAACTTGCTATAGCTCGAGAGAAACGGTCAGTAAATTATGGGCTGGCTGTCCAAGTTTTGTTGGATTTCAGACGTCAGCAAGAGGCAAAGCAGGCATCGGAGGGCATCCGGTCGACGCTCGGGATCTCTCCCGAGAACTGCTTGCCCCCGATTTTATACAACATCCAAAACTCCACCGCCAAGAGTCGTCTTATTAGGACGTGCTCGGACGGTTCGCTTCCCCGGCCAATGAAGTGAAATCATGACATATGAGTCAAGCGGAGCGTGAAGGGAAATTATGGACTTTGTCCTTCATGACTCGTCGTTGTCCAAGGGCAATCTCTGGGCTTTGGATAGACGTCATGCTGAACTTAGTATGTGGATGCCTGCTATGTTTCTCATGGCTAGAGGACGCAAAGACACGGTCAAAGGTTTTCAAAGTCTCGGCAGAAAGGGCGAAGTCAATGTGTTGGAATCCCATCCTTTCCGTCTCTCTTGTCACCCGACTTTCTCGCCCATGTGTGATACATGATTCGAGAGCTGCCTTTCTCTGGGTATTTGCTGGGATGAAGGCCTCAAGACGTGGACCGGACCCATATAATTGTTCTAGTATGATTCCATGAGGCAATTCACACCGAATTAGCCTCCGCAAACATGCATAACGGCGCATAATGGGCGCATTAGGAATGAGCTTATATTGAGCCGTCGATCAGGGGTACTAAGTGACGTCAGCTCCAAGACTCTCGGGCTTTACTCCAGCCTGCAAGGATCCAAAGAGTCTTCGTTACATGCATTGCCCATGGGGTCAGGATGCAATGCTATGCAATACTCCTCTTCCGCGTGGGTAATGGTGGATGATTCGACGGCACCAAACAGCCGGTGAGGCGGGATTCTGGGGTGATGTGGATGAAAATCGCTCAGTTATGGAGTCGAAACCGCCCAAAATACGTCTTTCTTGGCCTTGGCCTGTGAGCTGGAGTTGTTGTCAGTCTTTAAAAGGAGACGCTATCCACTTGCCTTCTCCCTCGAGCTACTCTAGCCTAAGACGCTCTCGACAGTACTTCGCCTTTACTCACTCAGTTCTTTACTCACTTGGTGTTTTACTTTCCTAGTACTCGCCCACTTGACCTTTGGTCTCTCTGAAAAGACATGCAACATCGGAGTGCGATCCAATGAGAACCGATCTTCTTTCCTTTCAATCTCGACACTGGCCACCTTGTGCGACTCAATCTTTCCAAAATGGCATCTATTAGCAACGAAAAGAGCGGCGTGAGCCCTCAAGCACCCGATAAGGCCGACCATACACCCAACAGCAAGAAGACCCAGGCTGGTACTGGTACTGTTGATGTCGAGACTGGCCAACTCCACACTCTCCAAAAAGAACCTCTTCCGCCATTCACTGAGTCAGATGACCCATTCGGCGGCGAAGGAGGCAACAACTACCGAACAATGGGCCGCTGGGACACCGTCTTCGCCCTTGTCACGAACCAGATGGGCTTGGGAATCCTTTCCCTGCCTGGCACGCTGAAGATCCTGGGTCTCGTACCTGGCCTCATTGCCATTTTCGCCATCGGCTCTTTGACTTGGTACGCCGGTTATGTCTTGTATGAGTTCTATGCAAGGTATCCCTTTGTCATCAACCTGGTCGAGATGGTCAAGGTCATTGGAGGGAAGAGATGGGAGGCAGTGGCCTTTTCCATGTTCATCTTCCAGCTGGTTCTCACTGGTGCCTCTACCGCAGTCACGCTCTCCATCGTGTTCAACTCGATCAGTGAGCATGCCATGTGCACAGTCGGCTTTATCGGCATCGCCTGCTTGGTCATCTTCATCTTCTGCATTCCTCGTACCATGAAGTTTGTCTCTCAGAGTGGTATACCCTGCTTTCTCAGCATCACCATCGGAGCCTTGGTGACCATGATCGGTCTTGGAGTTGGGCATCCTGCCAAGGCTCCTGCGGACTGGAAGCTGGGTTCTGGTCTTACCATTGTTGGGCACCCGTCTTTTCAACAGGGCTTGACCGCCTGTATCCGCATCTTCTTTGCATTCGCGGGTAACTTTGCTTTCTGCTCTTACATGGCAGAGATGAAGGACCCGGTCAGAGATTTCCCTTTTGCTCTCCGGGGACTCTTCGTCGCTTCCATGAGTGTGTACGCGGCCTTCGCTGCGATCCTTTACGTGTTGGCTGGAGAGTACACGACCTCGCCTGCCCTGGGCTCCGCGCCTCTGGTCTATGCAAAGGCGGCCTATGGAATCGTCATTCCCGCGGTGCTCACCTCTGGACTTTCCAACGGACACATTGCCATCAAGCTCGTCCATGTGCAGGTGATGCGCGCGATGAACATCACCAAGGAGATCACTGCCAACACTGTTCGCTCGTGGGCCATATGGATCGGCATTGCAATTGCCTTCTGGGTTATTTCCTTTATCATATCCAACGCGATTCCCATCTTCGACTCGATCGTTTCCATAAGTTCCTGCGCCACGTATAGTTGGACAACATGGGGCATCGCAGGGTTCCTGTGGCTGCACCTGAACAAAGGGTCGTGGTTCAGTACTTGGAAGAAGAGGGGTTTGTTTTGTCTAAATGTCTTGCTCATTGTTCTTTCGCTTTTCATGAACAGTGCGGGTCTGTGGGCGTCGATTTCGGAACTTCTCGATGCCTTTAAGACGGGATCTGGTGTGCGCGGATGCTTTGACTGTGGTGATAACAGTTCCCTCTAGAGTGAATGATTTTATTTTTCTTGATTCGCGTCCCGAAGTTCGTAGAGGACTGGAGGAACAATTGAGAGATGGGTTGGACTTGGGGCATGGCTGATGAATTTTTCTTTCTGGATTTGTCTTCTGGTCTTTCTTTCGCGTCTCTCTCCTTCAGCCCCCTTTGTTTCCCTTCCCTTCTGGTCCTCCTACGCCTTTGACTATGTGACTTGTATGGATTACTCAATGATGTAGAAATCAATATCGAATCATCTGGATTGCCAGAGATCTTCGCGTGAATGAACGTTTTAGGAACCGGTTACTAACACATCAGTCAGCTATGACACATTCTTGCAAGGAAATGCAGCCTGTGTCCAAGGACTTACCTATAGGTCTACTGGATTGAGACATCTCTGGTTGGCAGAGAGCTCTTGTGTCCTGTTGTTGATTGGAGAGAACCATGGTAAGATATGCGTTAGTGACGGAACAACAGGAACCCAAAGAACCGAGACTTGACCACCGGGTTATTTCTTTCGTCCTAGACAATTATAAAAACAGACCTTAAATCTCTTTCAATCCTCCTCTATCCTGCTTTCTTGTTCATCGGCACAGTGACACTCCCTGTGCCTGTTTCGTTTGACTGAATCTCCAATGGGAGCACCGCAGCTGAGAGACAACTCATAAGTTTCCTTCGTGTTGCCCACTCGGATGAGTGCTCGGATAGGATCGGCGTGGTGCCTCTTGGGGCTCGCCACTCGCTGTGGGCACAGTCTATTCCGTACATGTAGTCGAGGAGTATCCGCATCGATCCCTTCAAGATCTCAGAGTTAGTAGAGCGAAAGATGGAATACGACATAGTATAAAACTAAGCCCCCTGTTAATACAGAGGTTTTCCACTTGGACTTACCACTTTGCCTGTATCAAAGGAATTGCTCAATACGCACCCGGCATGATCGAATACTCTATTAGGTCTGCCCCGGCTTCGAGCTGGGGCTTCCTGAAATTATTGGCCAACGAAACCGGTTCGCCCCCTCCTTCATTGTAGTTCTCGAGGTTCTCGAGGCAGGATATGATCAGAGGGAGATATTGTTTCAAATATCCATAGTGGCAGGAGACGTCCGGGTCCGCGTTCTTTTTTCCAGGTAGACATCGGTACATGAAAGGTTGGAGATTGGTAGTAGTAGTCTATCTAGGCTGTTAGCACTCCTGAGCTATCTAAGAGATGGACCAGTTTTTGCTCACCCAGATTAGGAGCCTTCCCAAGGCATCCTAGTTTATAAGTGACGCCTGGCCGTCTCGCAGACAGGGGTATTCCTCGGACGAACTGGAAACTAAAGGGGCTCGCGGGCGAATCAGCTATTCTTGAAGAAGGGGGCGGGCGCAGCTGATTCTTCGGAAGACAAGCACGAGGGCTTTGAATGATGTACTCCAACAACTCCCTGTTTCGTCTCTTGGTAGTTTCATCGCCAGGTGTAGATTCCTGCCGAGAGTGCATGTGGTGTCGCTCGCTTGTAGGACGGTGTAAGTTGAAATTTATCAGGGGTCAGAAAGCTAAGCTTCAAATCATCATGATGGATCTGATCAGAAGAATGTTGGTGCCTCAGGAAGCCACACCAAACCACCTCATGATAGGCATTACCTACCTACATTTTTGAAGCGGATGACAAGGTATTAGAAGCTACTCTCAAGATCACCGTGTCAAGAATGGCTTGGGGTCTTCGTGGCGCCGAAACACGAGGGAGTTTGGTTTTACAGTTGATGCGATAAGGAGGAAGAGCTGTGCACAAAATGCGATGTTGGCCGATCCGAAAGAACTTTTTAGATAAGAAGAGAAACAACTTTATGGTACAAATTATTGCAATAGCGCAATAATTAGAGAGGTATCATAATTAAGCTGCGCGTCTGTCTAGAATTTCGTAGCACGAGGGCCAGTACCCATGACCACTGAGCGCTGCAATGTGACTTTACTTTCTGAGGGGCCGCTTGGGGGGTAGAAGCACGCCGTCATACTCCATACACTCCAGATGATTCTGGTACTGCCGCATTAACCAGTTCGTTTTGGTCTGTGTTGCCCAGGCAAGATCGTCCTCGGATAGCTCGAAATCTGCCGATTCCAAATCCACCACCATAATCTTATCCTTTCCCTCATCAGTCACGAGGAGAAAATTGTCGAGTTTGGTGTCATCGTGGCAAACGCCCAACTCAGCAAGGGACTTGAGGGCACCATACAAGAGAGGCTCAAGATCCTGCTTGTCTAGCACTGCGGCCCGTGGTGTTGCGAGAGAGAATCCCCCAACGTCTGAAAGAATGAGGGCGCGAGTGTGATTATAGTCGACCACGCCATGGAGTCGAGGGATGGTAGTGCCTTGAAGGCGATGCAGTTTGTTGTAGGCCGCCACTTCCTGGTCAAAATCGTCTTCCTAATTGTTCTTTTGGCTCTTTAAGACGATCCTCTCTGGCAGGAACCACTCTGGGAATCTTTTCTGCAGCCAGACACCACCTGCTCTCGAAACGATGGAGAACAACGACTGGATGACTCGTTGAAGTGGTGTTCGATGAATCTTTAGACGTAGGACATGGGGATGGAAATAATCGGAGATGGAACCGGTAGCTTTGATAGTTCGACTGCCGAAGCGAAACCTCTTTAACGACTTTAGCACTGGCACCAGATGAAATGGGAAGAATAGTATAACTTACTACGTCTGCCGATGGTGGGCAGTTTGGTGACTGTGGATTTGACTCTGTGAAGCCCGGCTCCTCGTTGGATTCTTCCATCTTGTCGTGAAGGCGAATGTGAACGTGAACGAAGAAGACAGTACGCAGAACGGAGGATTATCAACAGCGCGGCAACTTAGTAGGCAACCCCCAAAACAACGGCAAAAAGCCACCTCACAGTGAGTGCACGTGCCAGATTGGAGGGCTTTGAGCTACCTAGGTAGGTACCTACCCAGCGTCAGGGCAGCGACCATGTGCATTGGTAATGCCACATTTTATGACAAGAGAAGTAAAGGCATCACGACCAATGGCCGACATTGCAGTGTAATATCCTTAAATAATCATAGCAGAGTTACGTGAATAGAGATAGACTGCTAGACTGCTGCATTCAAGGACTAGAACTCAGGTTTTATCTGGCTAGCCGATGACCAACATTAGGGCGGCTTGGGACGATGTAACAAACTTGTAAGAGTTTCCAAACAAAGCTAGCATAGGTGACTTCAATTTCTTTCCTGAGAATGCCTTTGTTAAAGTGTATTGAAAAATACAACTCTTTTAACTAGGTACAAAATCCACTCAAACACTCGACTAGGCACAAAGGGCTTTTGGATAAGCTTCCAGCTGATGACCTGCGATCCAGCCAATTTGCGAAAGGGGAACAGTACCAGCAGGGTATTTTTGACGGACGATCCAGGGAATTGTGGTCGTCTTGAGAGGTAAGCAGCTTCTGGACCCGATTACCAGGCTGCAGGTTGTCCTGGTGGAGATTAGCATGGAATAGACAATGGAGCCTCGAGCGGGATAACCACATACCTGATCTCCCAGCATCAAGCTTGGGGCCATGAGATTGGAATGACGTTTGGACAGGCATGTGCCTTGAGGGAATTGCTTCGAAGGTTGCTGAATCTCCTCCGTTGGAGAGAGTGAATGCGTGGCCTCATCATGTTTGGAGCCCGATCGAGAACAAACTTGGACGGAGAAGATTTTGGTCGCCTCTCATCCTTTCTCTGTTTGTTGATATCCTGACTGTAATTAGCCAGTGATCAAGGTGGAGGAATAAGTAGGTGTAGAAGACTTACATACCAAAGTTCAGGTCTGCAGCGATCGCTCGTCTTGACGGCAGACAGGCACGGGGCTGGCTTTTGTTGTTCTCCCCTACCTAAGCACCACGGCCCGGGGGCATGAGGGTGGAAATGACGCTCAGACAGGCATGTGACCCGAGGTGGGCCCAGTCTGATCGTTTTCTTCTTCGAATCCCCTTTGGTAGAAGGGGAAACGGAAACGAGCCGCTTCATTTTTTGTTGCAGTATTTGGTATTTGCTCGTTTCCGTTTCCCCTTACCAAAAGGGGAAACGGAAACGACCCGATCTGCAGAATTTGGTATTCGGTCGTTTCCGTTTCCCCTTCTGAGCTGTAGGTCAGCTTCGCAGCGATCGCTCGTCTTGGGCAGACAGTCAAGGGGCCGTCTGCCGCTGTTCTCACGAGAGAATTAGTTAAATATTATTGAAGTATTCACCGAGTCTGCTCTCCGTGATGATGATTGGGGGTTGCATAGTCACTTACCGGGCCCTCGTGCGAGGGAATGCTCCCAAGTGTGGGTGTGAAAGGAGAGAAGTTCAGTGCCGTGGGGGGAGAAGTGGGAGCGAAGAAGAGGGGATTTCTCAGGGCCTGTTTCTGGAACCTTCCTTCTCTGTCTGCACGCTGCAGGAAAGTCAGGTAAAAGTAGGCAGGTGCAACCAGGGGTTTGTCAGGCTGCAGGGACCTATCAGAGTGCTGTCATAGTGCCACCACCTAGGAGGTGCCTAACGCACAGGGGCTGTGAAGACCCCAAGGGACTGAGGCACTCTCCCGTTGGACAGGCAATGGCTTCAAACGACTTGGAAGCAGCTATAGAGGTGCTGCTTAAGGGAAATTCTACTCGTAACCAACAGGCCATCACTTGAATATTTGCATTGGGCAAGGTACGTGACCACACAATGGTCAGGTACTCCCATTGATGGATTATACTTGGCTAGATCTGTGATAACAAAGCGAGTGGTGAGAATGGAGGACGGAAAAGTGTCTAAGGGAATAGCCTAGGTAGAAACATGCCGCACTGACTGTTCGAGGGAATGGATTCGTTGTGTCCGTTGTCAGAGGCAAGACATTATGCTACCGCTGACATGTTTAAGGTACTGTTCCCCTTACCAATATGAAGTATGCTGTGCATTCCATCCCGATCGTAGCATTTCTACTAAGTCACATGAGCTCAATCGTCTGTGAACACCCCTGTGGTGGTTCTAGGGTAAGAAGAATGGATCTGTATCAACCGCTGGGCTACGAAGCCCTCTGCAATTGACACATAGCGAAGGCCTTGGAGCAATCTTAGGCCCCCGGAACAACACTAAACATTTTTGGCTTGGCCTGATACGACCATGGTTAGAAATACAATTTTCTCGATACATCAAGGTGATGCGGAGACTTGGAGTTGTGGAGACTCAGCAGGGATCGACAGTCTAGTTACATTACATTAAAGGTTATTTCAACGACCCCAGTCGCATGAATGTGGTGCTGCCACTCCTTCGCAATATCTCCTACACGATAACTAGATGCTATCGATGGACTGTTGGAAGGTGGGCGCACGAAGTATGAAAGGGCTGCAACCATATGTCGCAGCCGTGACAACGATGGACCAGGTGGGTAGATTTCGCGGTTGAGGGGCCGATTGCACTTAGCTTGTTTAACGGCCATGAAGCTTCATATCCCACCAACACCTTCATAGAGCCAGCTCGGTCCTCTATTCCCGTCACAAAACTGTGCCTTGAAAGAAGCCCGATCGATCATCTCATCGTCGGCAAGCGTAGAGTATTACACCCTAGCATGAATAGATGTACTCTATTGCACCGGGGTGGCACTTCTTTGGCGTAGACTTTAGAATACACTTAATCGAACAAGATGTGCTAGTCGTATAGCCAGCTTGGACTTGGGAGCGGAAAGCGGGGGGTAGCTTGGGGTTCGTCTTCGCGGGACTGGGGTTCGGATCGACTGGACTCGGGATCTTTGACGGACCTATACTGGACACGGTTGTTCGTAGCAAGGCGGAGCAGAACGAAGGCGAGAATCTCAACACACGGCAGTATGCCTGACTGGTAAGGATGCGATGCTGCATGCAATGGGGCATGTATAGATCAAACTGGCGTCGGGCAAGTCCTACATAGACAGGTGGTAAGCAGATGGGTCGGAGCAGCCTTGTGGAACTTACAAATGCAGTGATAGTCATACTTTCGAGCATTTGGGAAAAGAATGGTGTGTTAGGGAGAAGATTGTAGGCGATTGGTGTAAGGAGGTCGGACCGGAAATACTGGGCTCCGCTTTGCTCCGTGGAGCTGGTGATCTTCCCAGTGTCTTTGGGAGCGAACTTCTCTCATCATGGCCTGGTCAACAAGTCAAACGGCCTACCCACAGCTCTAGATGCCGTGGCGCCTTCGAGGTTACCTGCTGTCTGAATACGTACCCTCGTTTTCTGCCACACAAGCACATGGTGCTGCGAGGCATCTCTATTTCTTACGAAACATCGCTTGCGGTTAGTGCGGCTTTCGCCAAACGTTAGCACTAGCCGAGGCGTCGCGTGGAGATTTGCTCTGCAACAGGAATTCCGTCCCCAAAATAGGCTGACCAGACTTCTCGAGCAGCTACCAACTACAATTTCAGTCGAGGATATCCGCATATATTTTACTTGAGCTGTTGATCTGTAGACGCGTAGTGGTACGTTGACACAACGAAAGGGCTAAATGATGGGATAATGTTGAGCTCTGCTGCAAGGAGCGTTGCCAGACGTTCTCAAAAGTGGAAAAGCTATTCGAATAAACAGCGTGGATTGGAGAAGACAATATTGGAGTGATAATCTGACGCGCTCAATACAAATACTGAACATTTTCGTTCTTCCTCCCTCGTCCATCAAAAGCTTGAAAGCTAATATTGCGAGCAACTGGTCAAGGATCGGAGTCACCGATGAAAAAATACATATCTGAAGGGAAGCGAAATACGGAGAGAATGTTGTTTGGTACTAAGGGTAGAGAGTTAGAGGACGCGTTTGGTGAGTGTGTGGAGAAACGGGGTACGAGCCTTGAGAGAAACTGGGTATTTACACATCTCCTCGTGGCTTAGTAATTATTCTCACGGACGGTTGGTGAGAATAATAGTCGTACTTGGTTTGCAAACTCCTAATATTTACATCATATGCATGAGGCACGAGTGTATCTGGAGCATAGACAGGAATAATAACGTCTGCTATGCACAAGATAGACATCACTTGGCCTGGTCTAAGATTGATGGCTCAGGGAAGGAAAAGAAGGCCAAAAAAGAAAAAAATAATGCCTCCGCTCGGGTTTGAACCGAGGACCTCTCACAGAGTGGAACCACTCCTTGCATGCACCCTTTGGGGGGGAAAGGGGAACGGGCAGGGGGAGGGGCATCGGGTGATGCAAGTAACTCGTGAGCGCGCTACCACTGCGCCACGGGGGCCTTTGTTGAATGAAAAGCCCGGGGAACTAATATATAAAGCTACCATGGATCTCTCTGTGCCTCAGGTGAGAACTCGCGGGCCGTTTGGTCCGAGACGGAGGCATGCGGAATCCCCTACCGCTTGCTGGCAGCATACCTACCTACCTACCTACATACCTACCTGGATACTATTACAGAGAAGCAAAAGGGGATCCACCGAAGATGTAAGCCATCACGTTCATGAATCTTCTAACTTGTCAAGCTGGTATTGTGCGAGTGCTTCCATCTCATGCACTTCCAGTGCCGAGGGTACGTACACAGATGGGCGCACTCACTGTAAAAAGGTTCTGAGGATTACCGAATTCAAAGCTCTCACTTTATTTATCTGTCGATCAAAGAATGCTATTTCTCTTAGAGGACAAGAGATGCAATTTCTTGATCCACCCGGCGAAGAAGTTGTGGGTGGTGCACGAGTGACCAAGCTACAGAGCGGTCTTGGGGTTGACTGGCTGCCTTCCCCACTGCCTTACCCTTCGTCTTCACAATGATTCCATCAATTGAATGACAGTGGTATCGTG